AGACCTTTAAATAAAATGATTTTTTTTTTCCCTTACCAGCTTCATGGCCTTTTGCACCCTACCATTGCTTTCAATACTATTAAGGTTTTTAGATATTTAAAAGGCACAGGAATTATTTTTTTTTTTTTGGTGGAAAACTCTTCTAATAGCCTGACATTTCAGTGTTGAGATTTAGTGGCTGCACAGAGAACGGAAAATGATGAGCAGGTTTATCTCCGCAGAGTCCGTGTGCATAATATTTGTGGGCTACTCACAGGGTATGAAAGCAATTCTTAATGAGCTCGTGGCATGGGCTAAAGGAGAGCTGTGATTTACTGGAAATGTGGTTGGTGGGGAGAAAGCAGAGCAAAAACTCTGCCCCAGCAGCCTGCAGGGAGCCTCACCCCCATGGCCACACCTCCACCCAGCTCTGAGAGCGCCCTGGTGCTCGGTGACTAATTAAAAACAAACCCCAACTTGACTGGGACACACAGCAACCAGCTGGCACCACACACTGTAATTAAAAAGAGAGCTGCTGAGCCCCAGGATGGGTTCCTTTCCTGGTAGGGGTGGGATACAGGTAGGAGATGATGCTCTTGGGCTGCTGCAACCCGGGGTCTGATGGTGGGTTTGGGGCGCCAAGGGACCTGGCGTGAAAAAATAAAGAGGGGAAAAACCCATTGTAAATTGTCTGCTCTGCCTGGTCTGAAATGCCCCACTGCTGCTTGATAAATGTCTTCCCTGCCTCAGCTGAGAGTCAGGGAGAAGCACAGCCCCGGGGAAGGCAGCCTGCAGCTGTTTTATCCAAATTTTTGAACGACCAGCAAAGCGCTAACTTTTCTCCCTGCCATGGCTTGGCACGCTGCTCTTCATTTTCAACCACCTGCTGACAACTGAAATTAAAAATCCAGAGGAAGTGTCTGTTTTTGGGTTTGTTTGCTTGCTTGTTTTTAAACAAACCCAGATTTTTATTAGGCCAAGAAATGAATTTGGAGGGAAAAGGCAAGCAAACAAGAAAAGAAAGCAGAGCAGTTTTCTGTTCCACTAACCCCTCTTCAGCTTTGAAACAGATGCAGCAAATTTCAAACCAGCTGCAGACTGGCAAATCAGTTGCTCTGAGTTTGACTTTATTATTGTTATTGCTATTATTCAAAGTGATGAAGTGATGGGTGAGTACTGGGAGGTTTAAAACAAGGTGCTGTCCTTTATCTCCTGTGAAGGAAGGAAAGCAAGCACACAGCCAGCCTGTGGTGAGCAGGGAATGACAGTCCCAGCAAGCTTATCATGGAATCATGGAATGGTTTGGGTTGGAAGGGACCTTAAAACCATCTCATCCCACCCCCTGCCATGGCAGGGACACCTCCCACTGTCCCAGGTGCTCCAGCCCCAGTGTCCAACCTGGCCTTGGGCACTGCCAGGGATCCAGGGGCAGCCCCAGCTGCTCTGGGCACTCCCCACCTGTCCAAGAACAATTCTTTCCTCACATCTAACCCTGCCCTCCTTCAGCTTGAGGCCATTCCCCCTTTCCTGTCCTTGTGAAAAGTCCCTCTCCAGCCCCCTTTAGCAACTGGAAGGCTCCTATGGAGTTTTCCTTGCAGCACTCCAGTCCAATCCCTTTGTTCTCCTGCTGACCTGGGAGGGAATTCCCTTCCCCTTGAACTTTGTCCAACATAACTTCAGCAGTAAATGGCTTTAGACTAATTATTATTTTCTATCTGCCTATTGAAGCTGCCACGCTGTGACCAGAATACTGAGAGGAAACACGGACACCCCTGATTTGGGTACAAAACCATGAAACTCTTGGCACATAAATTCATACAGGAGGATTTCAGCCAGGTAATTTATACCAGGCAGTATCCAAAGAGGCAGAAATCAAGGCAAAACATGCTTTTGGGGCAAATAACTCACCCACCTTGAGCCCAGCTCTGGAATCAGACAAAAAAAGGCAGCACCAGCCTCTCTGGGTGCCTTTTCCCTGGGAGCTGTGCTCCAGAGAGGTGGCCTGTCCCCACTCTGGGATGGGGAAGGCAGCAGGAGCTGTGTGAAAACACTCTCCCAGCAGCCAGAGCAGCCCGTTCCCAAAAAAAGGAATTAAGTACTTAGGAAGGACTTAGCTAGGCCTGAGTTGACTGAGTGAAAAAGGATTCTGCAGAAAATCCCTGCCCAGCTCCTGTTTCGTGCTGGAATGTGTACAGGTGTCTCCATCCCTGACCCTCACCCTGCTGGATGCCCAGGAGCTCTGAGTTCAGGCATGCAACAAAGCACCTCATGGATTAATTGATCTTCTGTTCAAGCAGGAAGAGCCAAAAAATGAGGCATTCCTTGGCTTGTCTTCAATCTTCTCCCAGCACATCCCCTGCTCTCCTTCTCCACCTCCCTCCTGCTCCCCAAACTGTGCGGCTGCTGCCACTTGGGTTCCCAAATCTGATCCTTGGAGGTGAAGCTGAGACTCCTCCTTGAGTCTGAGGCTTTGTTCCCACATTTGTGACTGACGAGGAGCTGGGAAGATGGGGAGAGGACACCTTGCACTAAATGAAGCTTTGCAAAGTTTGAAACCACAGAAAACAGAGTTGTTACTGCCCGTGGCAGGAGGCTGGAATGAGATGACCTTTAAGGTCCCTTCCAACCAAACCCTTCTGGAGGTGATTCCATGACTCTCTGATGTGATGGAGAGGTTAGGAAGAGGTGGTGTGAACCTACAGGGAGACTTTTGCTGAGCATAAAGCATGATGCAGTCTGCTACACACTTCTCTTGAGGTGGGGTAAGCACTCTTGGCTTGGAGCTTTTGATTCAGGGAGTGGGAAGGGGAGAGGAATGGGGTACAAAACAAAATGAGGGAAAGCAGGATAGTGAGGTACCCCTTGGGGTAAAGAGAAATACCTCCAGGGAGGAAGAATCACTGGATTTAGTTGTTGGAAGTCCCCAAGGTTATCTTGGAAGGGAAGAGTGAAGAAATAGTGGCTGTGACTGCAAAACAGGGCAACAGTTGGCATTGATCTGTCTGAAAGTTTAGTCCTGGCTTTGTAGTGGCTGCTAAGCTCAACTGGGATAGGACACCAGTCCTGCTCTGCCCCAGCTTAGCTCCTTCTCTGTGCTGAGATGTTGGATGTTCCCACAGCAGCTGGAGATGGAACTCAAAGTGGAAGTGCAGGGTGAGAGCTCGATAAGCAAAATGCAACAGTAAATGTCCCTTTCAGCCTTGCAGAACAGCCCTGGCACCCAACTTCCCAGAAACAGAGAGGGCAAGATCCCAGGAGTCTGTTCAGACTTGTCTGTGTGGAAAGAGCCAGGGATGGTTTGCACAGCAAGAATGAGGAAAGGGTTTGTGGGTGGGAAGAGCATCACAGCACGGGCAGGTTCTAAATGTTTAGCTGTGCTCTCCCAGTGTTTGAAAAGATTTTGGAGCAACAATGTGCCAGCCAGGGAGGCATTCTAAAGTGTTTTGTACTGCGCTGCTGATGAAAAGCCATCCATAAAAAAAAAAAAATTTAAAAGCATGACAGGTTTCTGGGGAACCTTTCTGTTTTGGGTGGGTGTGTTTTTTTTTTTTTTTTTCCCAGCTGTGCATAAACCATATTGCTGAGCACAAAAAGGGGAGTTTCATGATGTGGAGAGATTATTAATTTCTGCCTGAAAGAACACTTTTGTGTACTTGAAGGATGTGCATGCCCAGCCCCCTGCTCATCCCCAGAGCCCAGAGGCTGGAGGGCAGGATTTTGGGAGGGTGGATGCTCACTTGCAGTGTGTTAACTGCTCACACCCTTGCAGGATGTGTTTTTTCTCCCCTAGGAGGCTTTGGGAATCACTGGGAGCTTCTCCATTAATTGAATAAGCTTTGAGTCATCTTTTGTCTCCATTTTGCCTTTTTGGTTGTTTTTCTATTTCTTTGCATCAGTGTCGTTCAAAGGCTCCTCTGTGTAAATCCATAATTACTGCAAAGCCTTGCACCCTGTCCTGGGGAACAACAACATTCCTGGACAAATCTCCCTCAGAAACAACACACATGAGACTTCTCCAGCTTTCATTCATCTTCCATGCCCAGCAGGTAGAGACAGGTGGATTTGGGTTTTTGCTTCCTTACCACTGCTCTGTGAATGGTTTTTGCCCTGGCCCTGCTGTGAGGGATGTAAAAACCATCTCTGGCTTTACCAGTGCTCCCCTCAGCCCTCCCTGTGCTGTCCCAGGATGTAACTCTGCTTCCACCTGCTCCTGGCACCCAAACTGGGGAGAGTGACCACTCCCAAACTGGGAAGAGTGACCACTGCCAGGGCTGCTCTGTGTAATGGGTGGCTCTAAGGTGGCAGCTGAAGGCACAAATTTGGGAGCTGATTTTGACTTGAGGGTGTATTTACGGTTCTCATGTCTCAGTCTTTTTGTGATAAAAGCCAAAAATATGTGAGTTCAGCTTTTCAAGCTTGCCTGTCACCACTCCCTAGTGAGTGAAGGGCTCCTTTTGGAGCCCGGGGTAGCAGTGTCCAGCTGTGTGGCTGTGCCAGAGGCAAAGCACCCTTTTCCAGCCTCTCCTTCCCTCCCTCCACTCCTAGGAATTCCACAGCTCAGCCACTGAGGAGGATTTTGCTGGTTGACAGTTGCACAGCATAACCTGGTGCACAGCCCAGAGGGAAGAGGATGTTCATGCTACGCAGAGCACTGAGAATTCAGGAGGCACTTTTGTAACCTACTGAACCACATCAGACCTAGGAAAGATCTGAAGATTATGCAGCCCTCCTCAGTGTTTTCTTTCCTCAACCCTGGCTTTTCTTTTTTTTTTTTTCCTTGCCAAGCCTGCTAATGGTTTTTTTGTGCTGCTTGAAAAAACAGCTCAAGTTCTGCCCCCGTATCAGAGTGGCAGCGAAGCATACGTGAGGATTTGCTCCAGTGGCAAAGCCACATCTGACTGGGGGAAAAAAGCAAAAAAAAAAAGGAAAACAGCTGAGGCCCTTCGAAACAAGTCATGCTCCTGTAGGCTTTTAATCACTTGTGTCTGCCAAGAGAGATCTTGCACAAGCAAAGCTGGCTCCATGCAAGAGGAGCATTTTTGTGTGTGTGCAGGCTGGCCCCGGCTCCCTGCTAATGTGCTCCCTGGAAGCAGTGGCAATGTGCTGCTTCGATCCCTGGCTGCTGGAATTACCTTGATGGCAAGGTATTCATGCTTGCTGCTTTGGTATGTAGCTCTGTGTTTTATTGACTTCGTCTGCGCTGAACTTGGAGTCTCCTTTGGCTGCTCCAAAAGGGCTGGTGAGGAAAGGAGGTAATTTAGAGGGCATTAGTATGCTAGACAAACCTGAGACAATTTCATTTTCTTCCCTCTTGAGGTGTGTTGCCTTAACTCTGCTTCAGCTCAGTTTTATTTGCAGCTCCACTTTGATTTACAACAATTAAAAGTAAGTTATCAGTGTAAAATCAGGGAACAGACAAAAATTGTTCTTTTAATTTAAAAATGTATATTACTCTTATTATTTAGGCTTTTTTGCTCATGTTAACTTACTGTGGTAGATGTGCTTTGGGATTTAGAGTGAGCATAAACCAAACAAACCAAAGCGTTTTGGCTGAGGTGCTGGGGTTGATTGTCAGGGCAGAGAGTGTGAGGTGCCTCTACAAGATGGGAAATAGCAATGCAGGTGCTATAATGTGTTTTTTTACACGCACAGACATCCATAAATAATCCATTTTGGGATATTATAGTGGTCACTTCACTCAGGAAGAAGTGGGGAAGTGGAGGTAGGAGAGAATACTCATCTGAAGCCCTTTTTTTCTTTTTTCTACTGGTGGTTTCATCAGAGTTTCTTCCCCCAAGTGATTGCTGCTGTCTGCTGCCAGTGATAAGGGAGGGGAGCAGAGGCAGCGTGACAGATCCTCTCTTCCCATGTCACTGTGGCAGAGAAGGGAAGTATTTCTGCAAGGAAAGGAAACCAAGAGGAATTTCCCTGGGGAGGAAAAGAGCACTAGAGGAATTCAGGATCACACAGGAAAGAGTGATGTGAGAGAAAAAAAAAAAAAAAAAAAGGAAGCAAATCAACACAAAAAATACCCTGCCACCAAAAAAAGCACCAGGATTTGGCTGGGATCCATTTCAGGAAGTGGCTGTAAAGCTGAGTAACTTTGTCACAAATCAAGGGAGGACACAGAAGATGATGAGGGAGCTCTGAAAAAGCCTCTTTCACCTATGGCAGACTCCAAAATTTCCTGCCCTGCCACATGTGGGGATCAATATGACACATGGGACAGGGGAGATGGACAGTGAGGAACAGCCTTGGCTGTGAGCTGGAGCAGCCTGGAGTGTGCCAGACTTGTCCAGGGCTGCACCAAAGCTTCACTTCTCAGCTTAAAACCTGAAATGGCAAATTTTACAGCTGCCCCTCTCTCTGTTGGTGCAGCCCAGCGAAGAGACCGTGCCTTGAAAACTCCTTGAAAATTCCCATCTTTTGGGGGCAATTCTTCTGCCGTGGCATTTTGGTGTCGTGTCCGTGGTGCTGTCCTTCAGCAGGTCTGGAAATGTGGGAGGCTGCTGGAGTTTCAGGATTCTGTTCATTTGGGGCTCTTGGACAGGGAACAACAAATTCCAGGGCAGAGCAGAGCGAGGGCAAGGACTCTTACCAGACCCCTGGGAGGCTGGGCAGGCCCTGGCATTGGTTTTCCAGGGAAGCTGTTGCCTGGATCCCTGGAAGTGTCCATGGACAGGTTGACCAGAGGCTCGGAGCAACCTGACACAGTGGAATGTGTTTTTGCCCATGGCAGGGGTGGCACTGGATGGTTTTAACTTCCATTCCAACCCAAACTATTCCATGATTCTGTTGTTATTCCCAATGCATCTCACACACACCTGTCCCACACATCCCTCCCTGCTGCAGGATCTGGGGTCTCCTGGCTGTGGCAGAGCCATGGTGAGTGTGGAGAGCTGAGTGCCCTTGGGCCATCCCTGACCTTGGGCAGGTCACTCTGACCTTCAGACACCCTGCAAGCCCCGTCCCTGCCCCTCCAGCCCAGACCCACCAGCTGCAGCTCTGAGGGAAGGTGGAGCCTTGGCTGTCCCCATCCCTGTCACCTCCAAGGCAGGAGGAGCTGTCAGCCCTGGGAATTGTTCTCAGGAGCTCCTGTCCAGGTGGGCTGAGCAGGGGGTGGGATGGGGATGTGCCTCCAACACTGGAGCAGAGATCCCAAATACTTCCAGAAACTCGTTCTGACAGTGTGCAAGTCTAAGGGGAAGGGAGAGGGAGAGGTGTGCTGATTTCAGGACAGACTTTAGGCACATTCTAAATCCATGTCCTGTGCAGGGAGAGGCTTGGTGTGGGGGAACGGAGCCTCTTCCCTAAGGAACGTGCACTTGCTGACAGCTCTCCCTTCAGATTTACCTCCCCCTGGCAGCAGTGCTGGGTTTGGGTTGGCCTGAAGAGCAGTTGCATGTACAGTCCTCCCCAGCCCCCACATTTCCTCCCGTTGTTCTTTTCCAGATCACTTGAAGGTTTTTTCCTGTTTATTATCCGGACATGCTGCGCTCTGTGTGTTGATTTGACTGTCACATAAGGAATCTCCTACTGGGATCATGATGCACACCTTTCTTACATAAATATATATCTGTGGCAATGATTCAGAGCTGTGGAAGAGAAATGTTGGTGATTAAACCAAAACTGGAATGAGCTACAGTTGTTAATAAGGGCTAAGTTCAATTACCCTTTCCCAGAAAACCTGCAACAGTGTGATGAGTACAGTCACAAACAAGAATTCTCCTTAATTGACATAACAGGAAAGGTACTTCAGTGAGCAATTATGCTGATGTCCTGGGCTGGCACATGTGTGTCCCACAAATATATCTTGTACTTCCTGCAAAATTCTTTTAAGTAGCTATAAGGAAGACATTAATTTTTTTTTTTTTTCCCCTTTTCTTTTTTTTTTTTTTTCAGCAGTTGGCGAAAACTAATCACTGACTTGGAGGCTCTTTTTTGAGGAAAACAATGGGACAAAACAATGCCTTTTTGTGAGACCTGCCAAAGCACAAAGGATGCATGGGATGTTTTTTTTCTTTGTTGCTTTTGTCAGCAGGAAGTTTTGTTGTTGGGAACGACTATAACATGCACTGTCCTTGCTCTACGTAATCTGTCTGGTCCTGTGAGCCGGGTGCTGCTCCGTGCCTCCTCCAGCTGGCACGGGCAGGGCTCTGCCTCACCCTGGAGGCTCTGCCCAGCCCTGGGTGCCCGCACTCTCCCTCTCCATCCAGGCTGGTGCCCAGTAAACAAATCCAGGAGTTGGGTCCTCCAATGATTGCTGGGGTCGCACAGGTCAGGGCCCACGTTTAGAATGCTGACTTTGTGAATTACTTTCTTTTTTAAATTTTTTTTCCCCCTCCTCAGACAGCTTAAAATGTGGGAGTGCTGTCCAGTGCAGACAGCTTCAGAGTGTTGCACCCAGGTGTAAATATTGCAGACCTCGCCTTTGATGTGCTCAGGTCTGCTTTGTTTCCCTCTAAGTTGGTTGTAGGTCCGTCACAAAGAGCCAGATCCGACTGAGTAAATCACTTGTGGAAGTTAATTGTTCCCAGTGAAAGCTGGTCTGGCTCATTCTGCCTCTGTCGCAGGAAGGGACAGAGGTGGTGAGCTGGATCTGCGTTCTGAACCCAGCGACTTTAATTCTGATCAGATGTCTCTCTTCAGGGCATTAAAGAAAACCTGCTCACTAATCAAAAAGAGCCTCTTCTCTAGAGAAACGTAAGGAAAAAGAAATATTTAATGCCTTTTACAGAAATAAAGTACTGATATAAAATTTCAGCTTTGACAAATTTCTTTTGCATGCTATCATAAAAGAAACCTACTTCTCTGTACTTGGCAGGCACCAAAAAAAAAAAATGACTTTTTTTTTTTTCCTGGAAAAAAAAAAAAAAAGAATATCAAATTATTTGTGATGTCAGATACTGTACGGTGGTAACTTTATATTCCAGCTGTTTTCATTCACTGCTGCTGTGTTTTGATGATGCTTGTGCTTCTCTCCATCAACATTTTCAAATACTCCTCAGAGTTGGCTCTGGCTTCTTTAAGCTTTCTTTTCTTCTCTCCCCAGGACTGAAGCAGTGAGGATGGAGCCCACGAAGATCAACATGTCCCGCGTGCCCTTGGTCAACGGCGGCATCGACAGCGCCATGCTCAAGGCGCACAAACCCCGCGTCATGTCCAAGAGCGGCCACAGCAACGTCAGGATAGACAAAGTGGATGGCATCTACCTGCTCTACCTGCAGGACCTGTGGACCACAGTCATAGACATGAAGTGGAGGTACAAACTCACCCTGTTTGCTGCTACTTTTGTCATGACCTGGTTCCTCTTTGGGGTGATCTACTACGCCATCGCCTTCCTTCACGGCGACTTGGAGATGAACAAGTTCTCCCCAAAGCGGGAGCCGTGCGTGAAGAATGTGGATTCCCTGACTGGGGCGTTCCTCTTCTCCCTGGAGTCCCAGACAACCATTGGCTATGGATTTCGTTTCATCACCGAGGAGTGTCCCCATGCCATTTTCTTGCTTGTGGCCCAGCTGGTCATCACCACCCTGATTGAGATCTTCATCACAGGTACCTTCCTGGCCAAGATCGCCAGGCCGAAAAAAAGGGCAGAGACGATTAAATTCAGCCACTGTGCTGTCATCACCAAACACAACGGGGAGCTTTGCCTGGTGATCAGAGTGGCAAACATGAGGAAGAGCCTCCTGATACAGTGTCAACTCTCTGGGAAACTTCTTCAGACCTACGAAACCAAAGAAGGGGAGAGGATTCTGCTGAACCAAGCCAGTGTCAAATTCAACGTTGACTCCTCTTCGGAGAGTCCATTTCTTATTTTGCCTTTAACCTTCTACCACATTTTGGATGAAAGCAGCCCTCTGAGAGACCTCACACCTCAAAACCTCAAGGAGAAGGACTTTGAGCTCGTGGTGCTCCTGAATGCCACGGTGGAGTCCACTAGTGCTGTCTGCCAGAGCAGGACTTCCTACGTCCCCGAGGAGATCCACTGGGGCTATGAGTTCGTGCCTGTGGTTTCCCTCTCTCCAAATGGAAAGTATGTGGCGGATTTCAGTCAGTTTGAGAAGATCAGGAGAAGCACAGATTCTACTTTTTACAGTATGGACTCTGAAAAGCAAAAGCTGGAGGAGAAATACAGGCAGGAGGACCAAAGAGAGAGGGAACTGAGAACGATGTTGTTACAGCAGAGTAATGTTTGATTGGATGGACAAACTATCCTGAATAATCCTTTTTCTGCAAACTGAAAAAGAACACACTTTCTGTGCTGTGTGTCTGCTGTGAAACCAGAAGTGAAGCCCTTTCCAGGATTGTTTCCTTTTCAGTCCTATTTCAGCAAACAGCTTTGGTGTACAGTAAATCGACCCCTTTGGCTGAGTTGTTAATCAAGTATTTTGTAACTAGGCAGGATTTCTTTGTTCCCGATCATGACTTAGCAAAATTGGGTTTGTGTTCAACCTCTGCCTGATGCCACCACTGAAAGCAGACACGCCACTTTCCGTTTGGAAAGTGAAACTGGACTCACTGTGCTGCTTCCCTCAAATATTTATTTGACGTGGTTTTACTGTGAACATGCAGAGACAGCACACAGCACTGCTAGAGGAAAATGTGCTCCTTTGAAATACGTATCTTTAAAATGTATATTCTCCTACCAGGGATCACCTGCCTGGGGATTCCTGGCACTGAAAGTAAGTTGATTGAAGAGACAGAAGGTTGGATGTGGGAAGAGCTTCAGGGAGGGGTTAAACTCCTTCTTAAATCTCGAAGGAATGTGACAGAGCAGTGCTGGGTGGTGGGGAGGGACACTCGCTCTCTGTCTCTGCTGCTTGTTCTGTGATGGTTTTAGGATCACTCACTTTTTTTAACCTTGCTAATGCCTGATTTATATCTGATAGCAAAAAGGGGAGATGAGGGCAAGACACACACAGGATCACAACAGTAATCAGCTAGGGTTATAGCTGGCTTTGAGACACCTGGTTTTTATCCAATGTAAATAGTTTGTAACAGCAGCATAACAATACAATTCTACAGATTGCTTGCTTTGCTCCGGACCGTATTTAATTTTGGTTAAAAGAAAGCTGTGTAATGTCTGTAGACAATATTTACTTTTTCTGGCAGCCATAAAGGACAAGCATTCCTTTCATCCAAATCAATTTTGGTCTACTAAAACCATTCCATTAATAAATGAATTTAATTTGAGCAGTTCCTGATCTCTTTGTGGCACGGGGAGAGGGTGAAATACCCCGGAGATGTTGAAAGAGCCGAGTGCTTGAAGGAGGCATTTGGCTCTGGCACAGAGCCCTGGGAATTCTGCAGGTCACTGCAGTGGCCAGAGGACAGATGACAAACCAGGTAGCACTGGTGTCCACGTAGCATCTCTGGTACAGAGGCTTTTTTAATGGGAATTTGAAATTATTTCTGACTCATATCACTCTGGCAGCTCTCTGAGTTCTAGAGATTCTGCTCCTCTAAAGCTTTGCAAGGAAAAGCTGTTTTAAATGGGTCTGGCCAGAGAGCCACCAAGGCTGACAGTGATGAGAGGATGGGGGTTGGAACCAGATGATCTTTAAGGTCCTTTTCAACCCCGAGCCTTCTGTGATTCTGTGACTTCTGGCATCATTGCACTTATTTTTTTTTTACCAGTACTGTGCTGAGCTTCCTGGCACGGTGTGACCTGGTGGAATGCAGTGCTGCAGTCTGCCATACAATGTTCTATAAAGCAAATAAATCCAGCAAGCTGAGCACAGAGCTCAGCTCACCAGGCATGGATGTCAGGATGAAAGGAGCACACACTGCAGGGGCCTGTGGGGTGTCTGTGAGTGGGGCAGGATGGTGGTGGTGAGGAGGGGCATGAGGCACTTACAATTTCTCATTGATGTACATTTTTTAGCTCTCCTGTGGGGGAAAACATACATAGAATCATAGAATCATGGAATGGTTTGGATTGGAATTGATCATCTCCCACTGGACCAGGTTGCTCCAAGCCCCATCCAAGCTGGCCTTGGACTCATCCAGGGATCCAGGGGCAGCCACAGCTTCTCTGTGCAAGATCCAGGTGCTTGTTTGAAAAGATAAACTTCACTTAATCCACAGAGTTCCTCTACCCACTACAGAGTGAGCAAGCTCTCTCCACCCACTGTAGGCAGGGTCTGCCTGGCATTTGTGGAAAGAATTTCCAGGTTGTTTTATGCTGGGTGGTAGCAGAGGTTTGCAGCCCTATAGAGAGGATGTAAATGTTTAAATGATGGATTGTTCATTTCAAACTTTCTGCCACTTTTCCTGATTTCTTGTTTCATCACACACATAAATTGTGCGTGCTCCAAGAATTTTTGCAGTCACTTCATGGATCTGAGGTTTGTGTCCTACAACTTAAAGATACTTTGGGATGAAAGTGCACAGGTGTCTTAACTCTTCATTTGCCAAGCCCTAATACCCATGTTTTGATAACCAAATGAGCATCTCTATTATTTTTTTTATCCAGATAAGGACACAGATAATTCCTAAAATAATTGTCACAGCTGTGTATTGACTATAAAACAACTTCATCAATAGCAAATGAGCTGGTTCTTCTCCAGAAACATCTGATGGTGACCTGATCCCTTTGTACACCAATCCCAAAGCTCAGTCACTGTGTTCCAGTCATCAGATTATCTTGGAAGGAAAAAGCACCTTAAAGCAAAAGCTTTGGAAAAAAAAAAAAAAAAAGAACTACAAAAATTTTTTTCTCTGGGATTTTGACTCTATAAGGACAAGAGAGGAGAGAGGGAAGGGAAGGGAAGGGAAGGGAAGGGAAGGGAAGGGAAGGGAAGGGAGAAGGAAGAGCTGTTTCTTTATAGAAAAAAAGAATAAAGTTTCTCTACAACTCCTGACAGGAGGGGCAGTGACGGGGGGGCTGGGCTCTGCTGATGTGTCCCAAGGGAAGGAATGAGAGGAAAAGACCTTAAACTCCTCCAGGGGAGGTTCAGACTGGATATTGAAAAAAAGTCAGAGAAACAGTGGTCAGACCTTGGCATGAACTCCCAGGGAGGTTTGGAGTCACTGTCTGTGGGAGTGCTCAGGAGGAGTCTGGATGTGGCCTTGGGGACAGGGTTTGGGGTGATGCTGGTGGGGCTGGGTGATGAGGGGACTGGATGATTTTAAGGTCTCTTCCAATGTTGTTAATTCTATGAAACCACTGGAAACCTTTTGCAAAATCAAGACTAATCTTCATTAGCCAGTGAGAGACTATGCATCAGTGTTATATACATACATAAAATTAACATTTATTGACTTCAGCTTGAGAAAGCAGCCTTGCTCTGGAATGAGCTGATGTTTTCCCTCCTGCTGTTGTGCAGGTGTAACATCCACTTCCCTTTTCAAGCCCAGCAGGGCAGCAGTGGGGAAGGATGATCAGCAGCAGTGGGAAAATGTCAGAACACGTGGATCTGATAGGAGCCAGCAGCAAAGCACCACCTCTTGTTGCTTGTGGCAGCTCATCTCTGGGGACTTGCCTTGCCTGAGAAGGAATGGGATGGGGAGCCAAAAGCAAAACTTTGGTGAGCATCCCAAAGCTGCCTCACCCATGAGTAAGGAGTGTTGAATCTGAATTTAAAATTTCTGGGTCTAAAGAAAGCAGTGGAATCCCATTGCCCTGTGTGTGCAGAGCATGAATGTGTCTAAAAAGTAAAGCCTCCGTTCCAGACACTATTTAAAAGTCAGGCTTTTTAAAAAACCAGTCATTTGCTTTTTAAAAATTTACTGAGGAATATGACATACTTACATTTCTTTTATTTATGAGCTATCAGTGAACAGAACATTTTTAGAGTAGCTTTATTGTTTGGACTTTACAGCCTACAAATGAATGAGAACTTACTTCACCTCATTGACTGTTTCTGAATTATTTGCTTTGGCTTTGGCTTCAATAATTCATTGTTCTCTTTTTCTTTTCTTTTCTTTTCTTTTCTTTTCTTTTCTTTTCTTTTCTTTTCTTTTCTTTTCTTTTCTTTTCTTTTCTTTTCTTTTCTTTTCTTTTC